ATAGACATTTAACAGCTAGAAATAACATCTCACACACTCCAACCGATGTGTCAAAGCTGATGTGGAATGAAGGCTGAAGATTGAGATGTTATTTTTGACATCCCAAAAGCAAGATGTCAAATGAATATTTTATTATTTTTTCTTTTCTATTCTTTTTAATTAAAAATAAATCAACACTAAAATGTAATAAAATAATAATTTAATTTGACATATCAGGTGGAGTCTAAAGCTGTGTAAAATGTCAAATTGCCACATCAGCCATCAAATTTAAATTTGATGTTTGGTATTTGACATCTCCCTTGGAGATGCTCTAAGAGAGAGCAAGAAGTCAATTAAAGCAACAAAACATCTGGTAATAAGAGTTTGGGATCACTACATAATTAGCCAAAGCTACAAAGACCACTTGCTCACCCTAAACTCTAAACCCTCTCACTTCATCCCTAAAAAGGTATATGCTTTTGAGCATACGTAGTAAAATATGAAATACGTATGTGAAAATACAGATGAAAAATTCAGCCACTATATAATATTTTAATATAATTTATTTAAATTTTTTAATATATATTATTTTTATTCAATAATATGTGAAAAATATGTGTATAATACTTAAAAATTTTGTATGTATTATTGAAAATTTTGTATACAAAACACGTGCATTAAATGTGAAGAATACATACGTATATATACAATTGTTTAATTTTAAAAACATATGTTTTATCAAATCTTTCATATGAGTATGGAAAACGATAATATTTTTAAAAACTATGTATGTATATGTATAATAAGAGTATTATTAAAAAAAAAAAATGCTAACTAGGCTTTTGAGTATTATCTGGTCATCATTGGGTTCCCTCTTGGACATTGCAAAGATATATTGGCTAATAATTCATGCATGAATTGTTTACATTCGTGCGCAATTATTTGTTTAGGCCAATAATTAATGCACGAACAAAATTTCAGTTGAAGTTGAACGATTGTTACAAGATTGTAGGAATTGACAACAGTTTTAGAAGAACGATTGTTACAAGATTGTAGGGGGACAGATTCCCTTAAACCACATGGGGGGCCCCCGCACCCCGGGAGGAGGGGGGCCGTAGATAAAGTTAGAATCAAATCTTGTTTGAATTAAATAGTGTGCCCCCACTCATCTGTTTCATTGGGATTTTTGCACTGACTCACTATTTGTTATCATATGAAGAGATGTCTTCATCGTAGAGCTTATAATGCCATCCCCTTTTTCTTCCTTTCTATTTTTATTTCCACTTATTTTTCATGTTCTTCATATCAACTGAACATAGACCTTCATTTTTTTCCCTTTTATTCCTGCTTGCGAAACCAACGCATATGCTCTACGAAGGCTTGGCAAAGGATTCATAAGTAAAATCTGCCCCCTTACAGCACTGTAGGATTCATTTAAACCCATTAGGAATTGCATGAGAGCATTGCGTTCCTCTCGTTCATGATGCTTCTTCATAGCACCACATGAACATGTTGGCGAATCGTTGTAAGAAGCCAATTCATCCCACAACCCTTTCATCTTGGTGAAATAGCCAGCGATAGACATCTGCCCTTGATGGAGAGAAGCAATATCTCGTTGTAGTTGGAAAATCCTCGGTGCGTTGCTTTGAGAAAATCGCTCCTTCAGGTCCTCCCAAATCTCATGTGCCGTTGTCGAGTAGATGACGCTATCGGCGATCTCAGGTTCAATGGAATTAAGGATCCATGAGAGCACCATATCATTACACTGTAACCAGCGAGAGTAATGATCTGGATTGCTCTTCTCTGACGGTATTTGCACGGTCCCTTCAACGAACCCTAGCTTATTTTTTGCGCCAAGGGATAAGCGAATTGACCGGCACCACGTTGTGTAATTATCGCCGTTAAGGAGTTTGGGAACAAGTACCATGCCCGGATGGTCACTGTGATGAACAAAAAAAGGATTGCTGGCGTCATTTGCACCACCATCCTTGGAGGCACCAGAACCTCCATCTTTCTTCGTAGGCTTGCTCTGCTCGTCGTCTCCCATGGAGAAGTAGCGAAACAAGAAAAATATCTAAATTTTGTTTAAAAAGAGAACGGCAAAAGGAAAAAAAAACACAAGAGCTAGGGTTTTTCCTGCTCTGATACCATGTAAAATTGTTATAGAAGATATTGTGCCGGAATGAATAATTCTATTGATTGTACAACGTTCTTATACAGGGAGAATACAAGCCTAACTAGGAAAATATACATAGCCTAACCAGGAAAAGAATTGTACAGCAATTCTAGGAAAAGTCAAATAATTACAAAGAAGGTTTTCCTATTCTAGTTTTCTAATGGGCATGAAGAGAAAAAAAAAATACAGGGACAATTTTATATTCTGATATTAAATAGTGCATGGGCTGTATGCCTCATAGAATTATTTAGTTTTTTGTTCCTTAAGATGTGAAATTTGGTTTACAGATCTAAACCTGTCAGCCTTCAACTTTAAAGTCTTAACTTTCATGATAATGGAAAGCTTTCATTAGCTATGAAATCCTTCTTCTATAGCTTTAGGCATAATGCCTACTAATGTGTTGAGCTGACATCCTTCCTATGGGATTCACACTTTGATTTGTGAATTTTTTTTCATAGCAGGTTCCATTACAAGGTTTAATCACTACTTTTAATGACATCTTGCGGCTATGAATGACAATGGGTTGGTTCTAGGACTCGCTATTCAGAGAATGAGTTTGTAAAATTTTCATTATTGACTTATTGTTGTTGTTTTTGTTGTTGTTGTTATGATATCTGAATTGAGTTCTAACGGGCATGAAGAGCAAAAAAAATACAGGGAAAATTTCATATTCTGATATTAAATAGTGCATGGGCTGTATGCCTTAGAATTATTTAGGTTTTTGTTCCTTATGATGTGAAATTTGGTTTACAAAGCCAAACCTGTCAGCCTTCAACTTTAAAGTCTTAACTTTCATAATAATGGAAAGCTTTCATTAGCTATGACATCCTTCTTAAGCTTTAGGCATACATGCCTACTAGTGTGTTGAGCTGACATCCTTCCTGTGGGATTCACACTTTGATTTGTGAATTTTCATTTTTTTTCCACATTCATGTCAATTTCCTCTACTTTCTGTTGATTTCGATTGGGTTTTTATGTGTTTTTTTTAAAGGAAAAAAATGAATTGTTGTGGGTTAGTTTTAGGACTCACTAATCTGCAACAAATAGAGAATGAGTTTGTGTAAATTCATGTCATTTACTTATTGTTGTAAGCCAAGTACAGATTACTATAAAAGTGGCTTTAGTACCTTAAATAAAATGTAACTGTTTGTTATGGTAAACAGAAAGAAAAAGGTCACTTTCCTTCATTGTCTCTGAAGCATATGTTTCAATGTGTGCAAGTGAAGCCTAAGGATTTAATATTTTTGTTCTGCAATAAGCCTTGTTGCTTATCATGTTGCTTCCTCTTCAGTTTCCATGATGGTTCTTTTATTGGAACTACAAAGTGTTTAAGTTTTTATATATGTCCATTATAGTTCCAACTTCTGATATCGAATTCGATTGGATGCAAGAGATAATAGAATTCAGTTCCTTTTTTTTTTTTTTGGAGTCAGAAGATATTACAATTCTGTTCAGTTCGGTAACTTGCTTCTTTTACTTCAATAAAAGATAAATATAATAGAATCTCTTAACTGATTTGTTGATGTTCATAATACTTATTTCGCTTATGCATGACAGTGATAATAAACTTTAAATGCTTTGTCATTCATGAAGCCATTAAAATTACTATAAATTCTTTGAAGTACCTAGAGTGTATCTCTTTGTCAGATGCTTATGGTGTTTGAGTTATTAGAAAAGAAAACATGATAATTGAAGGTATTTATATGTTTCTTTTGTTTTTGTTTCCTTGCAGGCTATATGGCTAAAACGAACAAGATGATCATTTTGCACGGAAATGTTAAGTTTGGCTTTAGTAGATGGAGGCCGTGGCTCAGAGTTTCTATGAAATCATGATCATTTATGTTTTAGTGATGCTTCTTCTTTTAAGAGTGTAAATTGTATGCGCAATAGATATCTCAATGCCTTAGATTAGATTAGGTGATGTAAATCTAACGTTTGTTTGTTGTATCAAGGTAATGTCACTTGGGACCTGTAATTATCAACGTTTGATAGTTGAAAGAGGTTCATGGCAGTTTAGAGCTATTCATTTGTTAGCCTTACAACTTCAAATTTCTGCATAATTCACAGAGAAGTTTACATACAACCCCAATAGTATTACAAACATTTTAATGAAAACAACCAAATCGTGTTTGCTCCTTCGAAGCTCTTCTACAGAAATTTGCCACAACCGTACGAGCATTTCAAATCAAAACATTCTAATTCATATCTGTGAAAGAAAACACAGGGAAACTACCACACTATGAACTGAATTAAGTTTTCATTACTAAGATAAAATAAACTTGATAACATCGAGTATTCATTACAAAAGGGAAAAACAATTATGTACAGCACCCATTATAGAAAGTGAGCTCGTCATCCCTATACAGATCACCAACCCACCCAAAAAAAAAAAACCATCCTATTACAGAGAAGAAAAGAAAAGAAAAATTAGAATAGAAGATGCCATATTGCTGGCTAAAAATGGTACATATGCTGCAATGGTGTCGCCACCTCTGCTGCTTCCCTTGGTAGAGACTCGAGTGCAATCCAAGGAAGCTTCATCCTTATGAGGGCAGCAGCAACATCAGTAGGTAATTCAACAACTGATTTCACAGTTTCATTAAGCCTCATCCTTATGCAGCAGCAGCAGAAGCAGATTTCTATTATCTCAGGCACAAATTCCAGACATAATGCTAAATACCAACTGCTAACAGAAGAGATACCATATACACTTCATCTCATTCAGACGAGAGACCATATACACTTCATCTCATGTGGCATGTCTACTAACAAAATCCTTCAGCAAATTCTCAAGAGCTACATATGAAAACAAATAAATAGAAAATGTAAGCATTAACGAATAGCAAACTTTAGTAGTGATTAAACCTTGTAATGGAACCTGCTATGAAAAAAAATTCACAAATCAAAGTGTGAATCCCATAGGAAGGATGTCAACTCAACACATTAGTAGGCATTATGCCTAAAGCTATAGAAGAAGGATTTCATAGCTAATGAAAGCTTTCCATTATCATGAAAGTTAAGACTTTAAAGTTGAAGGCTGACAGGTTTAGATCTGTAAACCAAATTTCACATCTTAAGGAACAAAAAACTAAATAATTCTATGAGGCATACAGCCCATGCACTATTTAATATCAGAATATAAAATTGTCCCTGTATTTTTTTTTTCTCTTCATGCCCATTAGAACTCAATTCAGATATCATAACAACAACAACAACAACAATAAGTCAATAATGAAAATTTTACAAACTCATTCTCTGAATAGCGAGTCCTAGAACCAACCCATTGTCATTCATTCGAAATCAACAAACCCACAAGAAATCAGGTGTAATCTCAACCTTGCCCAGAAATTTTCAAAATTAAAAACCCATCGCAGAACCCCAATTCGAAAATCACAACCCAGATTTAGAACGAAACATAACGACACTATGGATACGCCTACCTGATTGGCATAGAATTCTCGCAAGCTCAACTTGCGATGGCAGCTCTTCCTTCGTCTTGGAAGGGTGGGCTCTTCCTCTTCTTCGTGCGTGCCTTAGGTTCTTCAGCCATCGCGTGTTTTTTTTTCGGGTCAGGAGTGTTAAAATGGGTTAAAACATTTAAAAGAATCACAGCCGCAAGATGTCATTAAAAGAGATCCAACGGCTAAGCGCCCCATCCCTCAAATAACACTATTTGAGGGATCCCTCAACTGAAGGGGACTATATATATATATAATATTAAAAATTTTGCGGCCCCCTTAATTGGAGGCCAATGGCCAAGGCCCTTCTTGCCTACCCCCAGGGCCGGCCCTATTCTTGACTTTGGTGCCAAGGGCGGATCTATGTATGGGCACTCTAGCCCAGTGCTAAATTTGGAGATGAAAAAAAATTAGTGTTAATTTTATAAGTGAAACCCAAGTTAATTAAAAATAGTCCACCCCTCTACTCCTCTTTAAAATTGTACCAACCTATATCCAATGGGTTCTTTAATATTAGTAAGATCTCTCTTACTTTTTGTTTTATTTTCAATTTCAATTGTTATTGTTAGCTTTTTATGATTTAAGATTTAGGGCTCTTTTTTTTATTTTTTTATTTTAACTAGTAGTAATTATTTTGATATAAGTTTAAATGTAGTAATATTATTATGATGAGAAATATAGCATTAATAAGATCTGAAGGAGATGTTTAAAATGAGCCTAATATCAGACATATTTTACAACATATACTATTTACTAGTGAATTAATATGCACACCAAAGTGAATGGATCCCGAGCTAGCAAACATAGACATCATCCAAATCTAGGATAATTTGGTCTAGTATGTTTAGGCTTCTATCTTGAGATCTGTTGGGTTCAGAAGTTACCTAATCTAGCTACCAAAGGGGTTTGAAAACTCATTCATTTCATAAATTTGATGATGCATTTTCTTAATGACAATAGTATATATTGGCTAATATTGCCACGATGCCTTTAGATAGCACATTGTGACAAAGGGCATGCTAGTAGCGTTCTGCCCCCTATAGATCCAAACCATGATATCTCACTGAAACCAGGAGCGGAGGACAACTGAGTAATAAAACTGGAGCAGTAGTGGTTGCATGTCGGGGAGGCTTCTCTCTCTCTCTCTCTCTCGGGAACATACAAACAAGGCACGTTACGTTTCCATAGGATACTAACAGCCGCTCCATAAGCGACGTTTGGCAGGCAGATTAGGTTTTTAATAAAAGGCTTTTTATCACAAATGGTCCTTGACGTTTACGAAATTATCACGAATGATCCTTAAGGTTTTTTTGTGACACTAATAGTCCTTAACGTTTGGACTTTTTATCACAAATGGTCCCTGCCGTCAAAAATTCTGTTAAGTGTATGATGTGGAAGATAAGTGGAGCCCACATGTCCAATCACATTGTGACATGTGGATTAAATAAATAAATAATTTTTTTTTTTATGAAAATCCATTAAAAAACCATTTAGCCACTCTCTATCTCTCTCTCTCTCTCTCTCTCTCTCTCTCTCT